TAATACTACTGTAGTACCATACCACTGTAATACTACTGTAGTACCACTGTAATACTACTGTAGTACCACTGTAGTAGTGGTGCCTGTGAGAGTCCTCTTCTGTCCACAGTTGATCCAGTTCCTGGTGTCTCTGGTCCAGTCCAACAGAATCCTGGGAGTCAAGAGAAAGATGTGAGTTGACGACAAACAATCAGAACAGGAACAACCACCAGGTGGTGGTAGAACACAGGCGGTAACACTGTCCTACTCTGTCTTCAGCCCACTCATGCTCAACGACTCTAGCTCCGCCCACTCCGTGCCCAAATATAGTCGGCCTTTCACACTGCAGGACCTGCAGGTAACCTGCTGCTCACTGGACCTGGACCTGGACCTGGACCTGGACCTGGTCCTGGTCCTGGTCCTGGTTCTAGAACTGTTCTCTGTCGTCTCCAGGCTGCAGCCGGTGTCTTCTCGGCCGACGCCCCCATCAGTTCCGGACCAATCATCTCTGACATCACCGAAGTGGTCCAGCCTATTGTAGAGGAAGACGTCAGTGATTGGACAGTTGGAGAGTAAGCATCTGTGGGGCGACGCCCCCTGAGGTAGGAGGCCGTGGATTGGCCGGTCAGTTCAACATTTCTTCTTGACGTTCTGCAGGAACGTCCAGTCCGTCAACATCAAGGAGGAGGTTCCCAGTCCGGAGGTCCAGGTCCTGGAGTGTGACGACCCTCCTGTGGACACGCCCCTGTCCCCCACCACCTTCATCAATGCCTTCCTGCAGGACAACGATGCACAGCCCTCCCCCAGCACCACCAACACCACCCCAGGTAAGTGCGACGGGCGCAGCAGCACCACCTACAGGTGTGGGTCAGGTCAACTTCATGGACTGAAGTCTGTTTCTGCTTCAGCCATCGTTGTGATGAGCCCCAGGCCACAGTCTCCAATCATCCAATCACCTGCCTCCATTTCGAGCTGTGACTCCAGCCACGCCCCCAACGGGCAGAAATGCCAGACCATCGCCTGCATCGACAGGTGATGTATCTCTCACACTGTAGCGCCACCTTTTGTTACGATCAAGTTCCACC